CTCTGATTGATCACCTCCAACTAGGATTGACTGCTCTTCAGGTAATTATATGGACAATGTGCATATATAGATATCAAAGAATTCAGCATGTCTGACCTTTTCTTTGCCTTTTTTTTTTTTGCAGAACTTGCTTACAAAATATCCAGATCTGGCTGCAGTGTTTTCGTCCAAGGAGAGATTATTACCTCTCTTTGAATGTTTTTCAGTGCCCATTGCATCAAAAACTGATATTCCTAAACTCTGCTTGAATGTCCTCTCTCGTCTAACTGCTTATGCTCCTTGCTTGGAGACTATGGTATCTGATGGATCTAGTCTTCTTCTCCTCTTACAAATGCTTCATTCTGCACCTTCTTTTCGAGAGGGTGCTCTCCATGTTCTGTATGCTTTGGCAAGCACACCAGAACTTGCTTGGGCTGCTGCAAAACATGGTGGAGTAGTATACATTCTGGAACTTTTATTACCTTTACAAAGTAATCATTCTTTACTCAATTTCTTTTCCATTGGCTTTCTGATTACATACAATGGAATCAATAACACAAAATGGTCTTGTGCAGAGGAAATTCCTATTCAGCAAAGAGCTGCAGCAGCTTCGTTGTTGGGGAAGCTTGTCGCACAACCAATGCATGGTCCTAGAGTTGCTATCACACTTGTGAGATTCCTCCCAGACGGTCTTGTATCTATAATTCGTGACGGACCTGGGGAGGCTGTTGTACATGCGCTTGAGCGGACTACAGAGACTCCAGAACTTGTGTGGACACCTGCAATGGCAGCATCTTTATCTGCACAGATTGCAACCATGGCATCAGATATTTATCGTGAACAACAGAAGGGTTGTGTTATTGAATGGGATGTACCAGAGCAGTCACCTGGTCAACAAGAAATGAGAGATGAGCCACAGGTTATTTTTTTTTTTAATTTAAACCTATAAGAAATCACTGAGCCATGGAGAAAGAGCTCCTTTGAGTGGAAGCATGATTGTTGATGAAATTTTTTTTCTCTCTAGGTTGGTGGAATCTATGTCAGGCTTTTCTTGAAAGATCCAAAATTTCCTCTGAGAAATCCAAAACGATTCTTGGAAGGACTGCTAGATCAGTATTTGTCAGCCATGGCGGCAACACATTATGAACAACATCCTGTTGATCCGGAGCTCCCTCTTCTTCTTTCTGCTGCATTGGTTTCTTTGTTGCGTGTGCATCCTGCACTTGCAGACCACATAGGATATCTAGGATATGTCCCGAAACTTGTCGCTGCTGTGGCGTATGAAGGGAGACGGGAAACAATGTCTTCTGGCGAAGTGAAAGCTGAAGAAATTGGCTCTGATGGAGTGAATGAGTCTGCTGATCCGTCAAGCCTACCTGGGCAAACCCCTCAAGAACGTGTGCGCCTTAGTTGTTTGCGTGTGCTTCATCAACTTGCAGCTAGTACCGCATGTGCTGAAGCAATGGCTGCAACTAGTGCTGGAAATGCCCAGGTTCTCTACTCTATTTCTCTCCTCTTACTACCACATGCATATATATTGAAATTAGTTGTTGGTAGAGTGTTTGTTACCTGTGACATGTGGAATGACTCTTGAGTTGACACCAGGTGGTTCCACTTCTCATGAAAGCAATAGGATGGCTTGGTGGGAGCATTTTAGCATTAGAGACGCTTAAGCGTGTAGTTGTTGCTGGAAATCGAGCAAGAGATGCGCTTGTTGCACAGGGTCTAAAGTGAGTCATACATTACTTAATAATTTTCCCTTTTGTTACTTCAGCTAACTTTTGCTGGCATTTTATATGTATCTCTATGTGCTAACTCTGTTAAGACTGTTTAAGTTTTGATATGGCAAAACCTAGTTATTGCGGAAAATAGTCGTTTAGAAGATGTGGCTGCAACAAGACTTGATATGCGTTCCACTTTAGGATGGTCGATCTGATTGTCTGATACAAATGGTTGTAAAAATTGGTAGGGTTGGTCTTATTGAGGTTCTTCTTGGACTGCTTGACTGGAGGACGGGAGGAAGATATGGCCTCAGCTCCCAAATGAAATGGAATGAATCGGAAGCATCAATCGGGCGGGTGCTTGCTGTTGAGGTTAGTATATATATATATAATTTGTTTGTTTCGTTTGTTACACATGTGATTGATGAAGTAATTAATATATGTCTCTCACAGGTATTGCATGGTTTTGCAACCGAAGGTGCACATTGCTCAAAAGTGCGCGAGATACTTGATGCGTCAGAAGTAAGTCGTGATATTGAAACACTATGTTCAAATAAGTGAAGCTTTTGTTTCTAAAGAAACCCCTGAAATGGATTTTGTGACAGGTGTGGAGTGCATATAAAGACCAAAAACATGACCTCTTCCTGCCATCTAACACGCAATCAGCGGCAGGAGTGGCTGGCTTTATCGAGAACTCATCCACCAGTCTTACTTACGCTCTTACCGCACCTCCTCCTCCTCCGGCTTCGCATCCTTGACCATCCCTTCCTTTTGTGTGTATATCCCAACCTTTTGTAAAGTCCCATAACTAATTTCCTTGCTTTCTTCCTTTTTTATAGAGAGAAGATACTATCGATTGTAAATGTTTGATGAGAGAAAGTAAAAAAACATTCTGGTTTTCTTGGACCTGACACAGTGAAAATTACAAATTACAGATATATATGATCGTCTGATGTCAGGATTTATGGTTGTTACTGTGGTTATGAAAGAATAATACATAATAAGTCGCTTAAACAATAAGCCAAATAAGAAGAATTAGTGACATTACAACTATTTATACACAACACTTCAACAGCTCACAAGTGAGCTCACTGCTACCCATTTCTTATTGATTGATTTGAGTCATGGTCTCACAGTTACGGTTCACGGGATTTATAAACTTATTCCATTATAAGTGTTGAAGTTTTGTCACTCACATTATAAAAAAGAGTTAACTTTTGTTTTGTTCTTATTGTAATACGTTTTATAATTTTTGTTATTGGTCACAGTAAAGCAGTAAAGGTAAAATTGATTTTTTTTCTTGTAATCGAAATTATGCACTAAAAAACTGAAACAAAATTTACTATAGGAGTAATACTTCACTTTTAAAGATTTTTTCATTTATGTATATAAGAGTCATATATCAAAAATTTCACTAAAAAAAAGATTAACTCGTGAAAAAGATGACACATATAATGTCGAGAATATGTCATTTTTGTTACTGTTTTAGATCGACAAAATTTAATTGATTTACAAAGTTTACAGTACACATTCTGAAGGTTAGAATACATATTTTATACAGTTAAAATGTTCTATTTGGATTATGTATTTTATACACAATACAAGTTCTACAAAATCTAAAATTATTTATGTTCTATGATATTTAGAATTCTAACTTCTACAATATTTAAAGGGGAATTGTCTTAAATACCAGGAAGATAGGTTTTTTTTCCAAAAGTAGCACCATAAATTTTATTTTCCAAAAATATCACAAAACTAAAACTAATTTTTTTAACATTCAAAACTAATTTCTAAATCCTAAACACTAAATGCTACCCCTAAGAACTCTAATTTAAATATAAATAGTCAACCCAAACATTAAAAAAATAACTTTACATCTTCAAAAACCAACTTTTTTATGTTTATGGTAATTTTGGAAAAATAAAACTATTGTGGTAATTTTGAAGAAAAACTAAAATGATGATATCCAAGGGAAATTTTCATATTTAAAGTACTTATTTTTGTACATTATTCTGTTTTTTACGAAGTTAGTTAAAAGTTGTTTAACCTTTACCCTACGTTCTAAGAATGTTTGAAAACGTATAATTATGTTTTTCCCTATATTCTATGAAAATTAGAAAACATTATGTGTAATATAATTTCTTATATATATATATATATGTTTAGATTACGTTTGCAAATTTTAGAATTTTTATTCTGTTTATTTCAGATTTCTCTAAAAAACCTAATTGTTTAGATTGTGAGTATGTTTGTACCGTTATTACAATTTGGCTGCTGATTTTAATCAACGTTCAAATTTTTTTTAACAATAAGCGTAATATTTACTGCAGTCGTTGCTCCATACAACGATGAAATGAACAACGCTTATTTCGATTCATTTTCATATCTTCTTCTTCCTCCTATTTTCATGACTTCTTACCTATCTAGGTCATTTACATGGAAAAAATAAATATATTCATGTGCTAGTACAGAGGTAAATAAGTTTTGGTGTTACATTTTGTCCGAAACTTTGATTTTTATATAAATTTTAGGGATTTTTTCTTTTTCTGGCTAAGCATTATTAGTTAGTGTTATCATATACACTCCAATACTCCATTCTTTTGAATGAACAAACCATAAAAACATTTCTTTTGTTTCCAAAATAATTATCAAATTAACTTGATTAATTTGATGCAAATTTGTACATTTTTTTACTAGGTGGTCAATATATAGTTACTAGCATTAAATTGACTAGTACATTGACTATGACCACGAATTTGGACATATTTACTTTCTAAAGTGCAAATAGTTCAATTCCTCGTAGTAACAACACAACCACAAAGATTTTGACATTATCAAATTTCCGAATTCTGTGACAGCAACACAAATATTAAGAAGTCCTAATCTTATATTCAAACATCCTTTACATGCCAAAAAAAAATCCATATTTTTACTTAATTTGGATGGAATAGTTCTAATCTCTTATAATAATCTTTAAAATCCAAAGATATATTTTGGTAAGTGTCATTTATTTATCAGAAAAAATTTCACCAGTCAAATTATCATTAATGTATGCCAACTTTGTATTTGGTATTCAATTTTTTTTCTAGATTTTTATCTAGAGAGATCTAATTAATTTACATACACTGTTTAATTAAAAATATCCTTTAACTTTAATTAATAAAAAATGTGAGATTTTTCTTTTAACTTCTGTTCCTTTTGAATTGTTTCTTTTAGCAATTAAAATTATTACAAAATTCATTTCTATGTACTTGTGTTACTCTTCTTCTTTTCTCATATATATATAGCCTAAGACAAAAAGTTATCCACCCATTTTATCATCTTTATCATCATCAAAACCTCCCTATCTCATTCCTCCATGTCCATCAAAATATGCATTTCACAACTCACTTTGATTCTCCTATTAACATCAACGATCCTACACAACCATGTCCATGCAACAAGTCCGATCAAAACCATCGTTGTTGTTGTTATGGAGAATAGATCGTTCGACCACATGCTTGGATGGATGAAGAAACTCAACCCGGACATCAACGGTGTAGACGGGTCAGAGTCAAACCCGGTCTCGGCTTCAGACCCGTCCTCTAAAAAGATCAACTTCGGTTCGGGTTCGCATTACGTGGATCCGGACCCTGGTCATTCGTTTCAGGCTATAAGAGAGCAAGTGTTCGGGTCAAATGATACAACCATGGATCCTCCACCGATGAATGGGTTTGTTCAACAAGCTTATTCAGAAGACCCTAGTGGTAACATGTCGGCAAGTGTTATGAATGGTTTCGAACCTGACAAGGTTCCTATCTACAAGTCTCTTGTCTCTGAGTTCGCTGTTTTCGATAGGTAATAACATCTTTTCCTGTCTTTTTTTTGGATTTATTATTACGTCATATAATCTTATTGTCGTCTACTTTGTCGTTTTTTTTTGTTTATTGCAAAAAAATATTATAGTCGTAGATTTTTGTAACTTTACTTTTTATCTCTAAAAACTGTAAATAAATTATACAATAATGTAAACATTAATTTCACAATGTAAGTCTTATATGTATCTTCTATATGTTTTTACAATTACATATTTTTATTAAAACATTATAATGGTAAATTTAGATTTTTCATCGTGAAAATTTCAGTTTAATATATGATTTATAAATATTTTACAAATTTGACGGTAAAAAACATGTTATAATATTGTATATTATTTTTGAACTTCCTATTATTTATTTGCATTTTTTTTAAAAATGATAGGTAAAATTATAACATTGATGACTTCAAGATTTTTTTTCACAAAACTACTTTTTTTTTCTTTTATATTTTCCACTATTTTCATATGGAAGTTTTTTTTTTTCTTAGTCAAGTATTAAGTATATATTCTGACTAACGCTCTTTTCTATGGTGATGTTGACATGTTGTTGAATGTTGACTCATGTAGTCAAAGCTAAAACGTATGTTAGATAATAAAAAGTCATTAGTACTAATTAATAAATCTAAACTTTTGTTTTCTTTGACCAGATGGTTTGCATCGGTACCATCATCAACACAACCAAACCGCATGTTCGTGCACTCAGGGACTTCAGCAGGAGCAACCAGCAACAACCCTGTCGAACTTGCAAAGGGTTATCCTCAAAGAACCATTTTTGACAACCTTGACGATGAAGATATCTCTTTTGGAATATACTACCAGAATATTCCGGCTGTATTGTTTTATCGGAGCTTAAGGAAACTCAAATATGTGTTTAATTTCCATAGCTATGGACTCTCTTTTAAAGATCATGCAGAGAAAGGTAAGCTCCCTGCTTACACTGTGATTGAGCAACGTTACATGGATACTATCTCGGAACCAGCGTCTGATGATCATCCTTCCCATGATGTCTACCAAGGACAGGTTTGGTTTTAAAAGGCTTTTTATTTAATTTATAGCCACTTTATATTAGTCCTAGGCGTTCGGGTATCCGATTCGTTTTCAATATATTCATTCAATCTTGGATATTTCGGGTAGAGAAGTTTAGGATCCATTCAGTTATTTTAGTTTTTCTCTGTTCGGGTTTGGGTTTGGTTTCAGTTATTTTCGTCGGTTTCAAATATTTAAAATGATTATATTTTAATAAAATTTGATTAAAATTTGGAAATATGTATAAAACTTCTAAAATATTTTGGTTATTTTAGTATAAAAATATTTGATATTTACGAGTTTATAATTGAAATTTTGGTTATTAAGCTATATCAAATCAATATAAGTACTACTTTAGATATATAAAACTATGTGGTTGGTATTTTGGATATATACCCATTCGGTTTTTTGTTCGGTATCGGTTCGGTTCTAGTTTTTTCGGCTCTCAAATTTACTGTCCATTCGGTTATTACTTTGTTTGTGGTTGGGTACTTTTGGTTTGGTTATTTTGCCCAAGACTACTTTGTTGACCAAAAAAAAAACTTTTAACTTAATACTTGGTATGATATTATTACACATTTTCAGAAGTTTATAAAAGAAGTGTACGAGACTCTAAGAGCAAGTCCACAATGGAATGAAACACTATTACTAATCACTTACGACGAGCACGGTGGATACTTCGACCACGTACCCACACCGGTTCGAAATATTCCTAGCCCGGACGGTATAGTTGGACCAGAACCATTCCTATTCCAATTCAACCGGTTAGGTATTCGAGTCCCAACAATAGCAGTGTCTCCATGGATAGAGAAAGGAACGGTCGTACATGGACCAAACGGTTCTCCATTTCCATCGTCCGAGTACGAACACTCTTCGATCCCCGCGACAGTCAAGAAACTATTCAACTTAACATCACCTTTCCTAACAAAGAGAGATGAATGGGCCGGAACGTTCGAGAACATCTTGCAAATCAGGAAAGAGCCTAGAACTGATTGTCCCGAGACATTACCCGAACCGGTTAAGATAAGAATGGGTGAGGCTAATGAGAAAGCTTTGTTAACTGAGTTTCAACAAGAGCTTGTACAACTAGCTGCTGTTCTAAAAGGTGATAATATGCTCACAACGTTTCCTAGAGAAATAAGCAAAGGGATGACAGTTATTGAAGGGAAGAGGTATATGGAAGATGCTATGAAACGGTTCTTAGAGGTTGGTCGTTTAGCTTTTGCCATGGGAGCTAATAAAGAAGAGCTTGTTCATATGAAACCTTCCCTCACTGAAAGAAGACCTTAAGTTTTATAGTTTCCATTACATATATATAAGTCAAATACAGATGAACAAAAAAAAAATATATATAAGTCAAATACCAAATATTTTATATATATTTAGTCTTATTAATAAACTGATATATTAATTGTTCTAAAGTTATGTGGTAAAGTGAAATTAAACACTTTTCTTAATTTTTTTTCCCTTCTGGTCAGAACTTTTCTTAAAATTTAATACCAACTATCGACTTTAAAAATTAGGTACGTAGTTACATAAAAATTCAGCTGAGTCTGAATTTTACGATTTAGAATTGGTGTTTTTTTCAGGACTCGGCTGGTTGGATCGTTTGTGCTTCATTTGTTGTATTTTCTTTGTAGTTTTCACTTTTCTTATCTAGTTTTTACCCTTTCTTAGTATCAAGTCTACCATCATTATTGGGAGGCTCTTCGCTTAAGATTTTGTTAAGAAAAGCTTTTATATAAAGATTTTTCTTAACAAAATCTTAGGCTAAGAGCCTCCCAATAATCATGCTCTGGTAAGAGCCTCCCAATAACTTCTGTCAATGCTAAGTATTTATATTAATTTTAGGGTTTTGTTATTTTTTGCGTAAATTAAACAGTTTTTGGTGGAATTCTTTGAAAAAAATGTTTTCCGTTAAATAAAAAATAACATTTGTTGTAGAAAAGAAATCATATAATATAAAGTTGGGTTTTCAAAATTAGTCATTAACAAGATCGTGACACGTGTTAATTGAATTGATAAGATGTTGACACATGTCAGATAATTAGTGGTAAGAAATTATATAAATTAGTTTTCAAAAAAAAATATTTTCAAAATAGACAGAAGAAAATTAAAAATTCAGAAAATTTAAAAATTACTTAGTAGTAATCGTAAAGGAAAAATAATAGTAATTATAAAAAAGAAGTATTAATAAAAATCATAAAAAATAGGTATAAGGAATAAAAAATTAAAATATACAATAATTTAGTCAATTATATGTTAATCTTATAAAATATTTGCATTATCATGAATATTATGTAATATTTAAATATTTTCATTCAATAAGTTAATCTGAAAATATATTAAAATATGAGAATTTTTGATAAATACCTCTTTTGGTGTACCCCTTTCTAAAAATACTCTCTTTATCTATCCATTTTCAAAAATACCCCTGTTTAAATATGAAAAATTATAAAGTGTTATATGGACTATAAGATACTTCTATTCTCTAATAACTACTAATGAGAGATTCGATATAATTAATAATGTTTTAAAAGGTTTTAAATTGTTTTTAACAGTTTTATAAGGTTTTTAAAAGGGTTTATAAGGCGTTTAAACGGTTTTTAAAAGATTTTTATAAGTTACTTCTACGGTATTTATGAAAGTTATATAAAATTTAATACACATATAAAGATAATTTGTGTGTATATTTATAAGCTTACACACATATTTGGATAAATTTCAACATTTTTAATGGTTTTCTTGATAAAATTTGAAAATAGAGTATTTTTAAAAATTGGTATTTGAAATGGGCTATTTTTGAAATTCCCCTTAAAATATTGACTATATATATTAAACTATATGTTAATCTTAGAAAAGATTTTTGTTAACGTGACATGTGTCAATTGTATTGTTAAGATATTGATAAGTGTAAATTTAAAATATATTAAAATATTTTAAAATTAAATTTATAAACCTATCATAAATTAAAATTCTACTTAAGTAATACATATAAAAGAATACCTAATTATAATGGATTTTTTATGTCAGGGTTTAATATTTACAATTAAATGAGATTATATGTCGATTTTAGTTTATAAAGCTGAATTGTAGTTTAGATTTTACAACTAAACATGTTATATGATTGTCTAGATTTAATAATTAAACAAGGTTTTATGTCGATTTAGGTTTATAATAAGAAGTAGAGTTTAGATTACACAATTTATACAGGGTTATTTATCTGTTTTGATTTATAAAAGAGAATTAAAAAATTTAGATGGTACGATTAAACGAGATTATGGGTTTAGCAAAATAAATTTGTTTCTTAAATGTTTTTACTTTTTAATATGTTATAATTGTTTAACTGATTAATTTATATTTAAATGTAATATGTCATATTGCAATCTCATTAACTAAAACAAGAGGGGTGAATAAAAAGGAACTAAAAAAAGAGACATTATTAGCTTAAAATTAGGATAAAAAAGTCAATATAATTCGTAGACTATTTTTTTTTTTTTTTTTTAAATTTTTTTAATTTTTTTTTAAATTTTTTTTAAATTTTTTAATTTTTTTTTTTTTTGTTTTTTTTTTTTTTTATTATTATTTATTTATTTATTTTTTATTTTATTTTATTTTTTCTTTTTATTTTTTTTTTTATTTTTTTTATTTTTTTTTATTTTTTTTTTTTTTTTTTTTTTATTTTTTTTTTGTTTTGCGATAAAAAAAAAAACCGTTTTCTCTCTCGTTGGAGGCGATTTCTTCAAACACTACACCGGCCAAAAACTTCTTTTTTCAGCCTTTGTATCCGGCCGGCGCTGGCTTTTCCGGCGTCGGTCAGCTCTCTTTTCTTCTTCAATTTGTTTAACTTTCCTTTCTTTATAGATTTAGATAATTCTCTGGCAAATTCAGGATCACAAATCCCCTTTCCTTGCCTTCTTTTAACGATTGGTGATGGTTTGTAAAAGTCTGATGACTTCAACCATTTTCACCCTTTTGTTAATGAGACAATATCAAACTGGGGTCGTGTTACAAATTCGAGTAGCACCGGTTCGTCTCTGTCACAATTGGAGCCCTACTCAAATATGCGCCAATTTGATTTCGATTCGAAAGAATCATTATGTCCTTCTGTTTACAAGGTTTTTTTCCGGTGGATTTTCTGGTTTTTAACCGGTAGATGTCCTCCTACTCGATGCTATGGAGGTTTCATTTGGGTTTTTGATCCAGGGATCCATGGAGTAAACACTTTGTTTCATGGTTTTGAGACTCTCGGAAATCATATTGAGTGTGGTTTTAAATTTAATATGGGTTTACTCGATATCAACGACTTCAAGTCAATTATATCTGGGGTTGAACATTTTTACTTTGAATGCGGGGTTGAACATTTTTACTTTGAATGCGAGAATGGTTTATCATTATTTGGCCAACTATTTTGTTATCTTCAGCATGTCTCGACGTGGATGGTGGTGAAGATACAATGGTGGGAAGAAATAAAAATTGAGAATCCCAAAGACATTCTTCCGTGGAGTGTTGGTGATGATGATGGTGAGTGTGTTGTGGGACCAAACACATCACAACCTATTTTTTTAAACTACATGTTCATGCGTCAAAGTCTATGGTCTTCCCCCAAAAGTTTTAGAGATTTATTGCCATATGGAAGGAAGGTATTTGTGATTATGTTTAAGAAAATTACAAAGTCAAATTATTTCATAAAGACTTTGGTGCGGAAGCTTTGGTACCACAATGTCTACATTCCAGAGTTATGTTTGGACATATTGGGTTTTCAATTACGGTTAGCAAAAAGAAAGTTCAGCCACAAGATGCTGCATGCAAATCGTAACAAAGAGAAATCAAATATGAAGTTGGACAATAACGGATCTTACGATCGGTTAGCGAGTAAGACTACTCTTCGGAAAGCGTCGTCAATCTCCCTTCTGCTGTATTTTTCTTTCAATCATACATACATTTGCGTATGTAATAATTGTGTTTCGGTAACTCTGTATAATGTCTTTGTAATAACTTTTTTAAATTAATGAAAGTCTGATTTTGCTGGAAAAAAAAAAAAATTCGTAGTATAATGATTTCTAAAATATTTTTTTTCAAATATGTATTTTAGTATACTTTCATGTTTAAAAAAATTTCTTAATGCTTATCTCAACGACACTATAACTCATTTTTTGGATTGATGTTAATTTGTAAGAACTTTACCATCAAATTTTGTAATAAGTAATTAAGTTTAAGAAATAAAATAAATTGCAATTTAAAAAAATATGGGAGAATAGTTTTTAAAAAAACTGGAAGTTAGGAAATAACAGTTTTTAGGATAATGGTATAATCATGTTTAGGTGAATAATCAAATTAAGTTTTTTTGAAAATTTTGGTAATAGTAATATTATGGAAATTTCAAACTGGTGAATAGCTGAATACTTTGGATATAAGATTCTTACAATACAATTTTAATTTTAATTTATTTTGAAAATAAATAACCCGTCTATTAGACGAACCTTAATCTATATTAGAAAATATGATATTCAATTAATATTGATTAAATTTTTTTTTTAATGTTATGATTTTCCAAATTTTAGCACATGCAATTTTTTTAATTCATACTTGAAAATATATATTTTAACTCGCGTTTTTAAGGGGGCTCTTATCTAGTATTATATGTTTGTTGGATTGATATCATTAAGTTGAGTTGTTTCATTTTTTGTACACAGTTTTGAATTTTTTTAACAAGAGCATGTGTATATATATAGATTCGAATTAAACAATGAAATATCATCGAAATGATAAGCACTCATCGGTAAATTATATTTAGGAAGAAATTTGAACAATTGTCCACTTCATCAATCTAATTCCCAAAATTTTTTAATAATGCAACGTAAATACGCATGAGATTTAATTGAACTATTAAGAATCATGCTCAGGTGGGTAACGTCTCCAAGGAAGATTGGACAGAGGTCACGGCTTCAGGAGGAAAGAACTCACATAGTTCAAAAAAGCAATTGTTGTATGGCCAGGTACGCATAGCTTCTCCCACACGTTTTGATGCTCTGCGGGACACAGAAGAGGGGGAGTTTCTACCAGATACTGCTCAGGTAGAGGTTGAAAAGTTTGACGTCCCGTCTGTTTCAGAAACAGGAAAAGAGACAGTCCTGTCAACAGTTCGGAAACCACCAGTTGTCAAGGATCATGTTGCTTTACGAGTGCAACAGTCCCGGGATTCAAAAACAGCACACAGATATCTATCAGATTCATCTCAAAATGCAAAGGACGCAGTCCCTAGCAGTTTCAAAAAGAAGGCTACCCAAAAGAAACGTTAATGTCGGGTTTCTTTTGGAACATCCGAGGTTTAAATAAGTCAAATAAGCAAGATGTTATCAAAGAATGGGTCAGGAAAAACAATTTTCAATTTGGTTGTTTATTGGAA